TCCTCAAATCTGCTCTAGAGGTTTTGTGGTACCCCCAGAACAGATGTAGGGGCTGCACAGGGGAAGAAGAAGGGTAGAAGTCCCATTGTGGAAGCACACAAGGAGCTACTTAGCACAACCCATAGCCAATTAAAGAACGTGAGAAAATCCACATTAAAAAGGAGTTTGTTACAAGATCAAGTAGTCCAGGACCATGGAGAGCAACCCAAATCAATATCTGAACCAGCTATCCGCAATCTGGTGGCCTTCAGGTTTTGGGACTACAACTCCCATCAACCCCAGCCCATTGTGGTCAATGGTCGGGGTGATGGGAGTTGTAGTTCCACAACATCTGTAGGGGAGCAATGCAGGAAAGTCCAATTTGAAGAACACAAGAGAAGACCCGTACCTCTTTTTATTTATTTCACAAAACTGTAAAAATAAAAATAAAAGACCTCAAATTGGTTTACAAAGAGTAACTAAACATTATGCTAGCTGTGCCTTCAAATGCATGCTTTTTTAAAAAACAAAACATTGCCACTGTGGGGACCCGGTCCAGACTAGGAGTTCCTAATGTGGAGTGAAGAGGGTGGCATTCAAGTAAATGAGATTTCCCCCCCAATGCAGGGTACAAATGATTAAACCCCATCCGGCCACCCACACTAGACTCCCTGTCTGAATTAGGCCCCCGCACTGTCATTTTGTGTTTTAAAAAGACCCTGAACTTAAAAGCGCAGCTGCATAACTCATGTGATACTTGCTTTCCTCCTAAAAATCCAGAATTACATGTTTAAAGCAAATGCTTAGAAAAGTGGGCACGTAAGTAATATATTCAGTTGTCTATACAAGATCCATATTAGCCTACCAGCTGGAATGGTTCACCTATATCAATTACATAAAACACACAGAGGAATGATGTGTGACCATCAGGCAACCTTGTTTTCCTTTTCCAGATCTCAGTAGTGCTCAATGTGTAAAATATTCAGTGCTGGGAATCTATGCCCTCTGAGCTGGAAGCCTTTTCCCATGACCCCAGATATATAAGTGTTGTTCTAACAACTCATATGTAGACGAAAAGCACTCTGCACCTGTTCAGAGGCACGATCCCATTCTATCAGTGTATAGATTCAGAGAAAAAACACAATTAATGACTAATTTGGAAGACTGAGGTCCCACCTTTTTAAAAAGATTCCTGCAGCCCATCACTGGTGAGTCACAGAAAATTAAGCAGTGAAGCTGGTTCTGCCTGCTGTTCTTCCTGTGAAATATGGCACCATGTGACCAGAATATGTTCCTTAGGACGGGAACTAACCCCTTGGAAGTGTAAATTCCAATATACTGTTGTAAAATACAAAATAGTAGTGTTCTAGAACATTTGCAGGGAAGAAAGGCGTATTGCTTTTCTTTAGGAAGAACTATTAATTAAAGTACACTACATGTTCCATTTTGTGTTTGACTCCTTATAATGAACAAAATTCAGTGCTTCCTGGTTTGTGTGTGGGTAGACTACAAGCAACTCTCTGATTTAAGGTCTGACCCTCTGCACATTTCAAACATTCTCACACTTGGTCAAAGGCAATTTATCCTTTTTATTTATAAAATGTGATGTTTCCTAAAGACAGTGCTTCCCTGGGGAAAAAGCAGAACCATTCCAAATGTGCTGAACTTCAATGAATCTCAGAGGCTTCTGTTTTTTTAACAGGATTCTCCTTGGGGAGTTCTTGTGGTTTGCCTCCATTTTGCTTTGAATGCTTGTTGCATGGAACCTTTCTTTGGGGGAATATCTGAATCCACAACCTATAGAAATATTGCCATGTATCAGGACTTGGGCGTGCCCTGACCCCAGAGCCTAGGAGTTGTCAGGTGGAAATTCAGTCCATGCACCACCTATATCTAACTCAGGCCAAAGGAAGGCACTGCGGGTCTGCCTGGCCATCAATGAAATCTCCTAGCAGCTATAGGCCAGAGCAAGTCAGGTGATGCGTCCTGGCCTCATTGTGCTTTTTGGCCTTCAGGAGCTGCCTGTCTTCGTACCTCCACCCCCTAAGCACACAGTTGTGCAAAGCCTGATATAATTATTTCCTTCACAGGAAGCATGTTGTTATTAATATAATAATATAGCCATATTCAAATCTCTAAATGGCTGTCAAATGGAAGATGACGCAGGCTTTTTTTTCTCCTGCTCTGAAGAGTAGGGCCCGAACCAACGGCTTCAAATTACAAGAAAGGAAATCCTGACAACATCAGGAAGACCTTTCTAACATAAATGAGACTCTCCACAAGCTGGCCTTTCATTTCTCTTGCAGCCCAACAAGTTCCTATATCTCAAGCTATAAAGAAGCTGAAAGTCCAAACATCTTGTTACAAATGATCATCCAAAGTCATGTACAAAGACTAATAGTGAGTGAAAGAATAGTTCTAAAAACACGATTAAAGCTTTAGTGCTTGTTAGTGAACTCTCACAGCAGTGGTCTGCATCCAACAAGGAAAGCAGCAAAGTCGCAGGCAAAAAAAGTACGTATGGCTGTGTGTGTTGCAAAGACTTACTCAGTGGGATACATGGCACGTTCACAATAATTAGAGCACACCGCATAAGCTCTGAAAACAGGAATGGGCTGTGTACACAAAATTTTATTTTTGACTAAATACAATCACGAACTTAGAAGTGGAAGGAAGAAATATACAGAACCCTGCAGAGATTAGAAATTGTTTCCAGAGGTACTTTAAACGATTATATACCCAAGGGCCATTGAAAGAAACAGACTTAGATCAATTTTTGAAAACAAATGGATTACAAAAAATATCTCAACTAATAAACTAATTTTGAACTACAAAATAACTGAACAGGAAATAGAAGGTGCCATTCAAAATATGCAATTGGGTAAATCTCCAGGACCAGATGGTTTGACTTCTAGATACTATAGATCCTTGAAAGAATGGTTAATACAACCTTTGAAAGAGGTCTGTAATGAAATAATGGAGGGGAAAAGAGCACCAGAGTCGTGGAAAGAAGCATATATTACACTTGTACCGAAAACAGAGACTGAAAAGACACAGCTTAAGAACTACCACCCTATATCATTACTTAATGTGGATTACAAAATTTTTGCTGACATTTTGGCCAAGAGATTTAAAAAAGTGTTGATGGAAGAGATTCATAAAGATCAAGCGGGCTTTCTCCCAGGAAGACATCTGTCTGACAATTTGAGGAATATAATTGATATTCTGGAAAAACTAGAAGTGAATATAAACACTAAAGCAGTTTTGATATTTGTGGACGCGGAAAAAGCCTTTGACAACATTTCTTGGAACTTTATGAAGAAGAATCTACAGGGCATGGGGGTAGGCCAAGGCTTTGAGAATGGTATAAGTGCAATTTATTCAGAACAAAAGGCTAAATTAATTGTAAATAATGTGGTGACGGAAGAACTCAAAATTGAAAAAGGGACACGACAAGGTTGCCCAATTTCCCCACTTCTTTTTATTTCGGTCCTGGAGGTTTTGCTGAACATGATTAGAAGGGACCGGTTGGTTAAAGGTATACAGGTCGGAGCCAAACAGTACAAACTGAGAGCATTTGCAGATGACTTAGTATTGACGTTACAGGAGCCAGAATCTAGTACTAAAAGGGTTTTAGAACTGATTCAAGAATTTGGTCAAGTGGCAGGATTTAAATTGAACAAGTTAAAAACTAAGGTTTTAGAGAAAATTTTAACACCGATTGAAAGAGAGAGGTTTCAGAATGAGACGGGTTTGACTGTGGTTAAGAAAGTGAAATACCTGGGGATTAACATGACAGCAAAAAATGGGAATTTATTTAAAGATAATTATGAAAAATGTTGAGCTGAAGTGAAAAAAGATTTAGAAATTTGGTCAAATTTGAAGCTTTCACTGCTGGGCCATATTGCTGCGATAAAAATGAATGTATTGCCTAGAATGTTGTTTTTGTTTCAAACTTTGCAAATTGTGGACAAAATGGATTGTTTCAAGAGGTGGCAGAAAGATATTTCTAGATTTGTCTGGCAGGGCAAGAAGCCCAGAATAAAATTGAAAATATTAACGGATGCAAAGGAAAAAGGTGGATTTGCCCTGCCAGACCTCAAACTTTATTATGAATCAGCAGCTTTTTGCTGGTTGAAAGAATGGCTGCTTCTTGAAAACACTGACATTTTGGATCTAGAAGGTTTTAACAATGTATTTGGATGGCATGCATATCTGTGGTATGATAAGGTCAAAGCACATAAAGCATTTAAAAATCATATTGTCAGGAAAGCGCTGTTTAATGTTTGGATAAGATATAAGGATCTATTAGAAAACAAAACCCCAAGGTGGCTGTCACCAATGGAAGCGAAAGCCTTGAAAAAGCTCAATATGGAGGTCAAATGGCCGAAATATTGGGAAATTTTAGAACAAGATGGAGATAGACTGAAATTGCAGAGTTTTGAAAAACTAAAAAACAAAGTGCGAGACTGGCTTCATTATTTTCAGATAATGGAGGCATTTAAATTGGACAAGAAAATTGGCTTCCAGGTGGAAAAATCAAAATTAGAAACTGAACTGTTAGAACCCAAAACTAAGAATTTGTCAAGAATGTATAACTTGCTGCTGAAATGGAACACTCAGGATGAAACGGTAAAATCGGCTATGATTAAATGGGCACAAGACGTTGGACACAACATTATGTTCGCTGACTGGGAACAGTTATGGACCACAGGTATGAAATTTACGGCATGTAATGCCTTAAGAGAGAATATTATGAAAATGATATACAGGTGGTACATAACTCCAGTCAAGCTTGCAAAAATCTATCATTTGCCCGATAATAAATGTTGGAAATGTAAAGAAACTGAAGGTACATTTTTTCACCTTTGGTGGACGTGCCCAAAGATTAAGGCTTTCTGGGAAATGATATATGTCAGGG